CTATCGCTTCCACGGATCTTCTCGCTTGAACTTTTTCCAGTATATTAAAGATATACATTACTCAATATTTATAACAAAACTTAAACGACCAGCTTAGATTTTATCGAGATACAGTGGTTCACAAAAGTAATGCCCCATTGCCATTCAAAAGTATTTTTTGCAAAATTCCTCCTGAAAACATGTATTTAAAATATATATTTTTTTCTTTTAAAATACTTTAGAAATTCTAGTTGTTAAATAACTGGATTTTTTTGATTGAGATCCTTCCAATCAAAAGATCGATGTGGAAGAGTGCAATTACCCCTAAAATTAGCTCCACAAAAGTAATGCCCCATTGATCGTTTTCATGATTATTCTTTTTGTTTCTCCTTCTATGAACATTAAATGTATTCTATTGTATTATTTAGATTCCTGACATGAAAAATCTTGACCCTCCGAAGAAGCTCCAAAGCGCTAAAGGCCCGGGAAAATGGGATGCGGGAGAGGGATGTGACCAACCTCTTCAATTGCTCGATATGGACAGTGCGCCGCATTTTTTCTCAATCAAAAGCCGGCAAAAACCTTCATCGAGGCCTCAAGAGTGGCCGACGACCAATCACAACCATAAAAGAAGATCGAGCCGTGATCCAAATCGTGGAAAACGATCCGAACAAAACATCAACCGATGGAAGCCAAATGATGAGGGATCCATTTAACAAGGTTGTATCGCCGGAAACGATCAGACGACGATTAAATCAAGCTGGATTGTATGCAAGAAGGGCTACCCCGTAAAACTCTGATGAATTCTAAGCACCGGAAGCAGCGCCTTGATTTTGCACGGACCTACCGAAGTTGGACAATAAGTGATTGGGCGAAAGTGCTATTTACCGATGAGACAAAAATCAATTTATTTCACGCGGACGGAAACCATCTTATTCGGCGGCCGACTGGAAAGCGATACACACTCAAGTACATTCGGCCTACGGTGAAATTCAATGGAGGCAACATAATGTGTTGGGGTAAGACCCTTTTTAGTATTTTGTCACCTGACTGTTTTTCTTTAGGAGCGATGTCACGAACTTCAGTAGGTCCATTAGTTCACGTCAACTCAACGATGAATGCTGTGGCTTACAAGAACATTATGGAGACCCAAATGCTGCCTTTTGCCACACAGACGATGCCTCCTGGATGGATGCTCTACCAGGACAACGACCCGAAACACAAGTCAAGGCTCATGATGGGAACGGTGGTGACTCTTCAAAATGGTACACGAGCACGACTTCCGGGCTGGTTTGCGGCAAGTCGAGTCAAATTGATCAATCCGCCTCCCTACTCACCGGATATCAATGTTATCGGGCATCTCTGGTCATTTGTGAAGTCGCGACTCAAGGAAAAGAAATTCGATTCGAAGGATGCCTTATGGGATCACATTCAACGTCTCTGGGCCACCATCCCCCAAAGTCTTTTGAAGAATCTCGTGGATTCCATGCCGAATCGACTCAAAGAAGTAATAAAAGCAAAAGGAGGACCAACCAAGTATTGATTTAAAAAAATTGTGTTAATTCTTTGCAAATGGGGCATTACTTTTGTGGAGCTAATTTTCAAGTAGCTTATTGTTTTTGTTTTGTACTTTAATTTGTATGTAATGTATACGGATAAATCTTATATTCTTGAAAAGTCGAATCTTATAGGTAGATAAAAATACCCTACTCTTTTTCTGAAATGTCGATTTTGCAAGATTTCCTTACAAAACATACTGTTGGATGGCAATGGGGCATTACTTTTGTGGACCACTGTATGAGAATCCAAAGTTGAAAGTAGCCATTTTTGGCCTAGAATTGGGCTTTTAAACAAAGATTTAGCTCTAGAAGATGAAAAAACAAAAGGGGTTCTTCTTTTTTATGTTATTTTGAATAACTTTATTTGGCGGTATTCTAACGTATTCTAATTTCTAATTTCTAATAGAAAACCCGGGAATGATCATTTTTGAAACACATTTTTCAGAAAATGAACATTTTTAACCTTTCAACTTAAAAGTCACTCAAGTCCCCAATAATCAATGCAATTCAAAATCTTTTTACACTATTTTGTAGAGGAGATTCAGGGCTTTCGAAAGTAATATAATAACTTTTAGCCGAAGTCATGGATACGGTAACTTTTAAATGAAGTTAAGGATACGGTAACTTATTGGCTGTGGCTTGCAATCTTTTATTTTTGGAAAGACATGTGAGCGCTGATTTCATTCCCACTATATTTAGTTAGACATTAAGAATTTTTTCAATTTTGCTTTTCCCGATTTTGTTGGCCTCTTCAAAGTCAAGGTCTAAATTTCAGGTCCGCTTTTATATGACATTCGAGCGAAGAACGGTTTATTATGCTCTGGTTATTAACTTTCCGTCATTTCTCGTCACAACTTTGACAATCACCGGGATCTTGTTTCCGCAAAAACACGAAAATGCCTCGGATCCGGTACACTTTAACATATAATTTCTATTTCTCATCTTCAAAATGTTAACTTTATACTCTCCAATACGCTCTCGAAGATGTTAACCCTCCAATACACTCTCTTTGCCGACTTTTCTAAGCTCAAGTTCAGATCAACATCGGTCTGTGTGCTTTCTTGGCGTTGTCGGTTATGTTAACCGTTGTTGCCGACAATCTCCCGAAAACAGACGCCTTTTCAGGCCTTTGTGAGTTCGTTTAAAAACACAAATCTTGATCGTCAGGAGTAAAAAAGTGTGTCTCTGAAAATCATCGGCATTTAGCATTATACATTCTCATTTGTTTGATCATTTGCATTATGTCGGTGGTATTCGGATTCATTCTTGATTGGCTTTATGTCACTTGTGGACAAAAGAAGAAACCAGAGGGAGAGGATGAAAAAGAACGAGAAGTTCGGAAAAAGAGCTGCTGTACCGTGAAGAGAACAGTGAATATGTGAGTTTGATGAAGAGTTTAAGAAAAAACTGATTTCCAGTATTTCACTGCTCTTATTCGTCGCTTTTGAAGCTATATTAATCCTCATGACGCTCGCTTTTTCATCGCTTGCCCAGGATCAAAAATCTTACTCGATCGTCGAGAATCTGACTGAAGTGGCCACTTACGATATTTTCCATGCAACCAAAGATGACTTGGAATCTTTGGGTTTTATCTGAACGAGGACAGAAAACCCGAAACGGACTGTGATTTTTGTGTTTTTTATTGGAAAAATAAACTGTACGTCAAAAATAGGTCAACCTTTGAATAATCTCTTTATTGCTCATTTATCTAACGGAATAAATCGTCAAATTTAAGTTGCGTCTAGAATTTTTCGACAGCTGGTAAAACGTTTTTTGTACGATAAAGTACTTTGGATGGGTGAAATGACTTGAAATTTTGCATGGGTTGTTTTTTTACATTAAAGAAAGTAAAAAATACTTTTCACTGGACTAGCACTTAGATCCGGCTCTAAACGAGCAAAAAACAGGGTGCGTCTATAATTTTTTGACAGAGTGTAGTACAATAGACAAGGGTAATTTCAATCATAGTTGACACTAGTGTTTTGATCTCAGATAATTCAATTCTAAAGCGTGCATGCGGCAAAGAAATGGCTAATTTAAAATTCAAACGCTAATTTTCTTCTCTAATTACATTTAACGCAAAGATTGCTTCAAAAGACGCTAAAGATAGTTTTTAGTTTGTAAACTTTACTTTCAAACTTTTACTTTTAGTTTTATTTTATGATAGTGTAAAAAAGTAAAAGTAAACATCATCATATCATTCAAAAGCTCATTTAATCCCCAGTAAAGTCACATTACGAAAAGTATACAGAAAAAAACTGTCCTGTTGTTGCGCCGCTTTCTATTAGGTTGGCAAGTTATAAACGATCGCTTTTGGGTAATGTGTTTTCTAAAAAAACGGCTTATCCAATCAAAAAACGGTTTGCTTTATTCAAAAGTCCTATTCTTAATCTACAAAATGGCTTTTTTGAATTTTTGAAAAATGTTTTATTTTAGAACTTTCTCAGGCATTTTAATGTAAGAGGTCAAAATCATGAGTGATCTTAGGATTGTTGAGCAGGGGCAAAAGCGATCGAGAAATGGACTTACACAAAAAGTTCTTCGATTGCTTTGTCTATTCGCATTTTAAATTCATCCATTGCCTACTTGTCTCTAATTCATTTTATATCATGTGATAAGAGTTTTTCAAAAAGAGCTACTCAACATGTGCCTTTCGTTTCTTTCCTTTTTCTGTGTTTCTTTGGAATGAGCTTTGGTGGGAAATAAATGATCTGCATTGGGAACGGATTGCGGAAAAGCGTTAAGTTGCGTAGTTTTTGCCTTTTAGCCCAAATTTGACGCGTCAGCGAGGTCTGATTTGTCGAAATTCGGAATCTACGCATACGATTCCCTTCTGTGACAACGTTTTTGAAGCTCTACGACTTTTCCTAAGGCCTTTTCCAGCAAAAAAAGGTGCGCAAAAAAAAGGTCGCATTTGTCCCACTCCTAAGTTTGCTTTGTTCAAAAGCCCTATCCTTAATCTACAAAATGGCTTTTTGAAATTTTTTAATTTTTGAAAGATTTTTTTATTTTAGAACTTTCTCAGGCATTTTAATGTAAGAGGTCAAAATCATAAGTGATCTTAGGATTGTTGAGTTATATTATTTTCTAGCGATTTCTCTTGGAGCGGAAAAGAAAGAGCAACATCGATTATAAATTACGGCCAATATTGAAACCATTTAAATTGGACGTTCGATTCTGAAACAATTCAATTTCGGACGTCCGATTTTGAAACCTTTTATCTTTGAAACCTACTTTTCCTTTAAAAAAAGTCATTTCACAAAGATTTTTATTAATTTTTTCGACCAAAGCTAGTCAAATGAAACACAATTCTAGTATGTTCAGCATTTTAGCACCTTAACGGAATGTTTATCTTAAAACTATCGAACTTACGCCATTTTTAATGATTAATTAAATTTATTTTAACAAGATAACACGATAAACAAACAACAACAAGTATATTAAAAATAAAATAATCATTTATTTTTGTAGGTATTTGAGTGATGACATCGGCAATTGCAGAGTAGTCCCATCCGGTGGCATAAACAGCGATTCGAAGAGCATCCCCGGAGCATATGCAATGTTTGTGTCCTGAAAAAACGCTTAAACAAGTTCAAAAAAGTAAATATCGATCTAAATCTTGATAGACAAAAACAGAGTCCATATTCTCTGGGCTAATTGGAATGGGGGAGAAAATTTTGATTTGAGAGCAGTTACAGAATCCTGAAAACTCACGTCAGACCCCCACAAATAAAAAGACACGGCTGCGAATCAATACATTTTGAGCCGCTTATCAAATGACGACAGGTTTTTAAGGCGCTCTTATCAATGATGGGAAAATACAAGTGTATTGCTTCAAACTTTCGTTTGTTTCAAACTAACGTTGAGATCATTTCAAGAAAAGTGCATATTTAAAATTTGACATCGAGGTCTAAAGATCTCTGCGTCTAGAAAAGTTTCAAGCTCTGAAGACATCAAAGCCCAAGGTCCTAGGCGTCGGCGACATTTGGCCCTCCACTACTGGATGATAACAAAAAATTAGGGAAGGCCAGGGAGTAGACTTTATCAAAATGTCGTTGCGGTCATTTTGAGACCAAAATCGTATTAATTGGTCAACTCACAAAAAAGTGATAACATTTTGAAGACAAAAATGACGACTTTCTGCGCCCTAAAACGTGGATCATACCGTAACCCTTCCCATGGGGAAAAACAAAACTACTTAAAGAGCGCTTGCAAGGATCTCTTTTTGAGTTCATTTTTCTTCTTTTTACGAGCTTACTTTATCATTTTGTCATAATAATCGTTTCTTTTTTTCAGATACCTCATTGATGACCAAATCAATCAGCACAAGCATAAGTATGGATTTCACGAGCTTATGTTTTTTCTGTGGTTGTGTTTTAAGTGTGAAAGTTTAGTTTTTCTTCGATATCAGCAACCGGACGGATGTCAAGTACTATGGTTTAGATCAAAAGTGTGTA